ATATAGTTTAAAAGGGATCACAGTGATAGAAGAATAAAGTGTTAAAATCTTGAAAAAGTAAGATGCTGTTTAAATCTAGTTGGGCTTAATAACCTGAGGCTGTCAGTGAGCGGGTGGGTGACCACTTGGATCAGCCTGCGTAGGGACCGAGGGTGTGCGGTATTGGTCCTCGTTAAACTGTTCTACCGTAAAGTGCTCGACTTCGCGTGCAGGTCGTCGGGCTACCGAAGCGGGAGTGCCATCCCCTCCGCAGAGGATCAAAATTTTGATGGCATGTCTTCTGATTATCCTCAGGGATGTTTCCCAGACCGTCGCCAATAGCCCATTGTGCAGCTCTAGTGCGACGTAAATGAACAACAACAACAACTTAATAACCTGATTAATGTTTTTCGAATCAAATCGCGTATTTAATCGAATTACTATTCGATTCCCTTTGTGGTTTACGAGTGGCCAATTTACAACAATATTTATTGTGATGGGCAAAGTTTTTCTTTGTTTTATGAAAAATAAAAAAATAGGTACCTAAAAACATGATATACATTTCTTGTAGGTAAATTATTCATCAACAAAAAGTTTGCACAATATATATTTAATATACATCATACTTAATTGAAAATTTTCTTTAAACGTCTGATTCGAAGGGTTGGGATATAATTGACATTTCATACATTTAAATTAAGGTATTAGTCGTGATATTTAGGATACAATAAGTTAAAAATAGTATTTAGAAATCATTAGTAGTTTTTTGAAAGGGAAAAATCTTTGTAAAAAAAATTGAATTGAATGAAAGAAAAGTACACAAGCCACACTTTCCGGAGAATATTATAAGGAACAATTATGAACGCTACACGGGACAATGTGGAAATTTATATCACAAATTTGCATTGTCAGATCCATATTTTTTGACAAATTAAATATTTTATACACAAGTCATTTTGTAAAATGAGGTCATACATTTCGTATTTAAACTTAAATTCTATCAAGTATAGTTAATCGACTCTTCAATTTAAAAGAGAATACAATTATCATTTGAAGTTTAAACGAACTGTTTAGAAACTATTTTTGCAAATTTGCAACGTGAAATGGATATTTTTCGGACAGAAATAATTTCTAAAATGAATGAATGATAGAAATAATTTTTATAATTCACTGTGGTTTTAGGCTATAATAATTTCCAAAAGAAAATTTTCAATAAAAATGTGAGTAAACTGTGAAGCTTTCAAAGGACAGTTTAAAAATTAAATTTATAATTTGTGATACAAAACATAAATGTTTTGTATATAAGTAATTTTAAAGGGAATCATTTTGCTAAATAGTGCTGCACACCATACATTTTCTATTTAAAATTGTTATTACAAGAAAATGTAACGGAAATTCTATCATCACAAGAAATATTTAAGGGAATAGGGTTTCACAGTAAAAACTTAATTTTTTGGACATTAATATTTTCTGTAAGATTCATTCATCAAAATTTTGCAATACATTCTGCATTTCTACTTTAGATTTTCTTATTTTTTTTATATTAATCCAATCTTATGCTTGAGATGAAAATGAGGTTAAAAAAATTATATTGTGACTAACAAAACTATCTATTCAGCAACAGCTAAAGGAAACGTCAGTTTTAGAAAAAAATGCTCTACATTTTATACTGTATAGTAAGATTTAATATGAACAGCTGCAAACTGGCTTATTCACTTGTCTAATGGCAAATCTTTAAGTGAGGCTTTTATCTTAAGTGGCTCTTTTGCGAGGCTTTTTCCAAGGATAAGTAATACAGAATAAATAATTAAAAAAAATTTTTTTTTGGGTAGAAATACCCACTCTAATAAATAATAAATTTATAATTAATGCGCCACTGTCATTTTGAAAAGTTAATGAATATTGTGGTTAAAAAGATGTTGACGGATGAAGCAAGAATAAAAGGTAAACCTAAATTTAAAGAAGAAAACCAATCCTACCTGGAAAACTCTTTAGTGCTTTCTACTTTGTCCTACTGAAAGTAGGTCTAACTAATCCTAGTCAGTTAAAGTCTGAAGTTTCATGTGTTGATAAAGCAATATACTATTAGTCAATGCATAAATAACATCGGCCTAATATAGTACCGACGAGTCTCATATAATATGAGAATTCCTAAACTGTTAAGGTTAAAAATTGTAACCCGGTATTCTATATACTAATATTTTTTTTTTTAAGGTTAAGGCTTATCACCCAGTATATACTTGCCCGGTATTCCGTGCAATGAAGGGTTTTTAGGGTAAATGGTCATTGCTTGGATTTTTTAATGTGGATATTGATTTCAGGCTTTGAACACGTTGAATGCCACGCCAGACATCGGTAAGTGACACTGAACTTTCCGTTTAGGCCGGGTCTATCACTGATGTCTGACAGTGCAAAACATGACGTAATGTTTAAAAATGTACACTGTTTTAAGTAATTAATGAAAATTTATTTAAAATTTACTTAATTTTTATTACAAATCAAATTGTTATTTATTTCAATCTCTTAGTAGTGCACTTACTTTACATTGCTTGCCTCAATACTAGCGCTTCTAAGCAGCGCATGTGGTCTGATGGACATTTCCTTAAAAATATGTGTGGCGCTCAATGTGTTAATCGACTAGGATTATTTGACCCAGTTTTAGCTGATATAGGTGGAAGCTTTACAGATTTTTTGAATTGTAACTGGCCATATTTGGCAATCCTCAACTTCATTAATTTAAACTTAGATTTATCTTTCATTCTTGATTTATTCACTACATATTGAAAGGAATGATTCATTCGAAAGGTTTCCTAAGAAAATTATCTGTCGGACAAAAAAGGAAAAAAAAAGAAACATTTTTTGAGATAAACAAATTTATACTTCTGCTAGATATTTTCTAGGCCTGAAGAAAGCATACTTAACATAAGTCAGGGTGACCATAGTCTGAAAAGTTTTTTAAAGTGGTGACAAATGTTTCAGTGAGCTGTTGAAAATTTTATGAATTTTAGCAGCTATATTTATCTCCTTTTAAGTTCAAATTTTTTGTGATCGATAGAAATTCGATTAATGATTCTTCATTCTACTTTTACCATTTCCTAAATTTACCCAGAATGTGGACACCTTATTACTTATTGACCAACAATGTGGGAAGAGTAAGTTAAAAAAAAATATTTCAGCACCCCTTCGAATCCGTGAGAAATATTTTGGTGAACAAAAGATCTGTAAGACATACTTAGGTGGGAAAAAAAGCATTCAAATATAAAAAATATGCATTTTTGAGGAAGAGATTAACAAGTTAATGTCGATAAACAATTATAAATCCAAACTAAAATAAACTTTTATTGTAAATATATTTATTAAAATAAAAATTAACCCATTTTTTTTCAAACAGGCATTTAATTCCTCACGATTTCTTTATAGTGTATCTCAAATAAATATATAGTGTTAGAAAAGAAATGAACTTCCCTTTTGGGTGTTTAGATTTACCATCTATATTATATAAACTGTCTATGTTGTAAGTTCATAAGGTATCTAATAACATGTACGGTTTTTAAAAAAAACTGGTAATTGGAAGATATGTACTTCTTTCTTGAACTTAACTGTTTAATTTCTGAACAAACTTTTGGCTCATAACAAGCAACCGCACTTGATAATATATGCTTAATTTTATTTAGTTCAATTAAAAATATTATATTTTACAATAAAACGGTTTTGTTATGTTCAATAAGCAATTAATCCGCATAATGGATTTGATACAATTAACTACTCAGGTGTAGTTTTGAATCTAGCTCAGAGTGCGTTACTTGTAGAGGTAAATCTTGAAAACTATTCAAGCGAATATTTTGCACATACAAATCTGGCGTAATAAGAATTTTATTAAAGTTATTTCTATAAATGATTAATTGTACAATTGTATGATAACGATAACGGTTTATATGATATGTAATTCAGAATTAGGTCGTCTATTCAACGACGGCTATAAAATAAAATAATACTTGCTTGTTTGAGGCATGGTAGCTCAGGGGATAGAGCGCTTGCCTCCATTGAGGTAACTCGGGTTCGAATCCTAGCGATGATTGGTCGTTACGAATTCCGCACCCGACTCGCACCGAGCTCAGTACTGATGTAAAATATTCTCAGTGGTAGACGGATCATGGGTTAGAGTCCCCTTGCCATCAGGCTCCCCGTGGGAGGTTTTCGCGGTTTTTCTCACCATGTAATGCAAATGCGAGTTAGTTCCATAAAAAATCCCCCAAGACGACAAATTTCTCTCAGTACTTGATCTAGGAGTTCCATTGTCTTCTGGATCGGGTTCAAAATTACACGGCTACGGAGTTGAACATTGATAGTCGTAAACTCAAAATTAGGTCGGATGTTTAAGGACGGTTAGAGAAAATAGAAAATGTGCTTATTCCAGATAAAGAAACTAACCGAGCACTCCATTTCTTTTTTTAAGTTGTTTAATTTATTTATCTTATAAAGAGTCTAGCGTTACTAACTTATTTACTTACTTAAAATTAAAATTAACTTGATTTATTTTTTCAAAAATGAGCTATGTTTACCACGAATATTTTATGTATAAATTTTTGACAACAATGATAGTTCACAGAAAGCAATATGATTCGCAAAAAATATATATTTACATGTGCATATTAAATTTTCATTTTGATATTTCAATTTTTAAAATTTGCTTCAATACTCAGGTGAATTCTCCCTCGCTTTCAATTTGCCTTAATTGTTAATATTATTTAACTTTCTTTTTTTAAAATATGGACTCAGTTTTTTATTTTTTCAAACCCACTAAAAATATGGCAAATCTTTTAAACTGGTTGATCAAATATATTACATGACAATTACTTTCAAAACTCTTATATTAAATAATATTTTATGTATAAATTTTCACTAAAACGCATTTAAAGAGAAACCACATTTCATCGATTGTGATATCGTTTTAAATCTATCTATCGAGACTATCGTTTTAAATCTTGAATCGATATTGCCTTTCCCTAACCCTTAGTTCACGTCTTTCAGCTCAAGTCATTCATTTCTGTAAGAGTTTGAATAGGATAGCTAACGTCTCTCTCTCTATAATCCGCTCAAGTCCGGCTTCATCGTGTTTGTTTTTGGTATGAGTGCTGCTGTGCAGGGGGTACCCCGGCCAGCTCAGCCCGTAATGGGAGGAGGTATGTAATTTAAAATTAGTTATAAATGATTTTAAGCATTTTTAACGATTCTGAACTTAATGGTTTTCACACTTCCTTTCTAAACAAAGCGATCAATAAAGCTACGCTGCGCAGTAACCAATAAGCATGCCACTTTGACATCTTGTGACCTATAAAACCGAATAATAATTCAAATAATTTAATAAAAATTAATAAAAGAACTAATTTTATTAGATAATATTTAGTCTGTCAAGTTGCATTCTTGCAACAAGTTGAATTTTCGCTATATGCTTAGATATGAGTCAAGAAAATTTAAGTCTATAAATAGATGTATATCCTTCATCTGGGAATTTAAGAAAAATACTTTTCCAAAGAGTTATTTGTAAACACATTATGGTAAAGATTATAATAGAAATGTTGGTTTTTCTTTAATTTTTTTTAATATGCTAAGATTATCTAGAGTCAAAATAAATGGACGATGACAAATAGTTTACTTTTGAAATCAATATTTAAATTGTGGTCTCCCGCTGATAAGCTTAGGTCGTAGTTTGAATCCAAACAATTATACTTGGATTTACAGTTTTGTTTTAACTAAGAACGCATTGGTGTTTTATACATTATGTACTTTAAAAATCTAAGTTTATAATATTCTCTCAAAAAATTATCTGTTTGTATTTGTGTTTACCATATGTCCGTATTGAATCGTAACATGAATCAATCTTAAGATTTTAATTTGGTTAACGAATGTAAAAAGAAATTTAATTAGATATCTAAAGACTGCATTACACGCAACTTCTTAAAGTTGTCAGATAATATTATTTTGCAAGAAAAGAAGTTTTTTAAAAAAATCTAACATATTTTAAAAAAATCTACACGAGTTAAATGTTTCATCAGTGATAAAGAATTTCACTACTAGGATTTGCTGACAATTTTGTTCGGTGTTATATTACGTAGTTTGGAGAAAAAACTAAGGTAACTAAAACGCACGTATTAAAGAACAGTCTCATTTCAACTAAGTAGACTTTGAGAAAAAACGAGTTTAGGTATGTGTAGTATTAAAATGATTGGAATTTCAAATGATAAAAGCGAAAATTATATTAGTAATGGAGGCCTGCCAAATATATTTAAAGAAAAACGCAATCATGAGCTGATTTCGACAATAATCTGATAAATCAAACTATGTTAATCTCCCATAATTTGTCCGATAAATCATGCAAAGCAGATAAAACCATTTGATAGATTCAATGAGTTAAAGTAATTGAGGGAAACAGAAAAATTATTATAATTAGTCCATTTAAACATTAGTTTTCATTTAATTTTGAACTCACCTCGATACCATTTTTAAAAGTTTTGCAAGAAAAGCAAATACATCTTTCATGGCTTGAATTTTTAAAAAAGATTTTGAAAGTACTGAGATTCAGAACTATTTAAAAATAGCTTAAATCTTCATAAACATTTTAAATTTTATACAAATGTTAAACAAAGTATGTTGAATGTATGTAAATTATGTTGAATTCAATTTCTTGATATGAAAATCGGTTAGCCTTTTAAAACTTGTTTGTTTTGATTTGGGCTAAGTGAATGGTTTTGCCTACTTCATTTTGTCGACGAATGCTATTTATTTAGAAAAAAGAGTATAAAAATTTTTTTGGATCAATTTTTTTTCCGAGCAAAATATGTTCAATTGATGTTATAAAATTCGATCTGCAAGTTGAAACTACATTGACAGATTTGTGATACAGGAACCATATGGAGTTTTAAACTTTTTTTCATTTATTACTCACATTTTTCAACACACATTTTTCAACTTTTGCTCATTCGAGATCACAGAAATTATTCCTCAGATTTTTGTTTTAACGAATTCTTTAAAATGCAACGTTCGATATACATTTTTTACAAGCTTCACAAGTTTTCACTCGTAAAAATTAAAACTACCACATTTTGAGAAACATTTTACAGAACATAAAGAAGATTCTTAGTTTAGTTTTAAACACTTACAAACTTTAAAGATCACGTCAAAAGAAATAGAAGTATTTTCAGAAATCTTCACCTTAAAATATGCCGATTTATTGCAAAAATCTGAATGATTTGTATTATTATTATTCTTTAAGGGGGTAAGTTAATGAGGTAATAAAACACAAATTATTCAGATTGAGCATAAAAACAATATCAAACAAGTATTAAATTCCATATAACTCGTTAATCTTTTTTCTTATGCGTCATTTTCTTCTTTAAGTTAGATGGATTAGTTTTTCATATATTGCTGCAGTTTTTATCCTACGTGATAAGATAAATATTTGAAATTAATTGTTTTAGAATACTTGAATACTGTCAAAAAAATCTCTTCGAAAGTTAGCACTGTTCCCAAAATTCTGCATGGGTCATTTTTTTTTCGAATCTTAGTTTAATCTAAATTTGCCCATGAAGTAAATGGAGACTGTTGCAGGTTAAATCTGTTTCATCACAGAATCCTCTATGTTCCCAAAACACATTATACTTCTGGGGAAATAAATTGGAGAATGATCGTTCTCTGGTTCAGGTTAAAATTACGATCTGAGGACGAATGAGTGAGTCCTTTCTGTAAACGGGCAGTGACGTGTGTGTGGCTGAAGTCGTATCCTTAGCCATAAATGGAGTAACTGAAAAACAAAAAACGCACACTCTGCCTTAAATTTTCCTGGTTTCATCAAGCAGGCTTGCTCGTATTGGCAAGTGGCATTTGAAACAACAACAACAACATGATGGAAAGGGCCATAGTAGACCCTCAAGTACTTTCGTGAGTATCCCTTTGCCCCAGACATTTTTGAGCATAAGGTACCTTTTGGTATTTGTATAAGGTACCCCAGTTTCATTAAAAAACAACAATATTTCAACATGTCAGTGATTATTATTTACAGAGAAAAGAGGAAACTCAATTATCTAAGAAACCTATTTATACGCATAATTGATATGCCACTGTTCCGTTTAATCAAATATTTTCGTTAACCAAATCGAATAAATTAATAAGTCTATAATATGTTTTTATTAAATTAATCATGATTTTATTTTAAGATTTGGATGTCTAATTGATCCCAGACAATTGGGAACTACCAAACTGGACCCTTCAGTCTTTTTAGGTATACAACAATGTTCAGTTTGTCTAGTTTTAAACTTCATATTCAATTTAGATATTTGGATTTAATATGGAGTTTAATGTCCGATGAGCTATAAGCGACTATAATGCACCAAACTTAAATGATATTAAGTACCCAAATTAAAGAATTGAAACAGTATTTTTAACAAAGTCTCCACAAAAATGAAATGGAAATTGCAAAAACAAAATTAAAGAAAAGATCATTATTGCGCCTTAAAATTTTGAACATCTATTTACGTAAATCTTGTAAATATTAAGCTTCTTCATTTTGTACTTTCGGACTCAACTCAAAATAAAAGAAACCCGAATATCTTGACAAGCTCTCTTTAGTGGTGAAGTTTATCCATATTTCTTAGGATAGATCCTTACTTGCATTAAGTAAAAAGGAGAATCACAAAAACCTTTAACTGTTTTAGTTATATAGATCGAAGATACATCTGACTTATAACGCTGCATTTCCATAGTATACTAATTTCATACTTATGATTAAATTTCCTAATAAAAGTTTTCTGTAATTATTATTGCTTACAGGGCGAACGGCTGGATTGTATCCCAATATGCGGCCACCTCACTTGAAACATGCTCATTCAAAGACTCAATTAGAGGAAAAGGTAAAGCATGAAAATCTGAACAAGAAAGAAAAGTAAAATGTTTGTCCTAACAGAATTACTTTATCAAGTACGTATTTCTTCATTTTGCGTCTTATTTATTTTTGCTATAATATACTTAGTTTGGTTAGAAATTAAAGAGAAGTCTTATTAAAAAATAAATCAATAATTGGTACATTTGCTTATAAGCTTTTAAGCAAGCTTAAAAGCTTATAAGCTTTTAAGCTTATAAGCTTTTAATTACTTTCCATCCTAACTGGAGACAGAGGATGTTTTTGAAATATCTCAGTATAGTATATTTTCTGAATCTTTTAAGCAAGTTTATTTCCTACAAATATGCACATCGCAATTGAATATTTTACTGCACAATCAGACTGCCAACTTTCTACTCTTTTTGGGAAAATTTCTTCTAGTGTTAGCTTAAGTTTATGTTTTAATGCACGATTCTTCGTTTTGTTAATTCGAATTAAAGTAATTTTCCACACCACTACATGTAAATGATTCAAAAGTTCATATGAAACATCCCTTTCTCTCAAATCTCTAGTGTTGAGACTTTTAAAACTTTACAAAATTATCACAATTTCGAAAGTTTTAGTTTTCTATTGTCATCCGCTCAATACAACTTTTTGAAAAAGGAATAGTAGTTGGCAGCCCTGTGCAATTTACATCTAAAACAATAAATCTTTATGTTATGTTGTTGATACAAATTGCCTACTAAACTTAGCTTTATAAACCTAAATTTCTATACATTATGATAGCTATCTCTTTAATTCACATATTCTAGAGAACTGAGATTAAAGAAACTTTCTAAGAATCCCACATAGCAAATAATTTGTCAATGATGATTGCAATTTCGTATTATATTTAAAACTATTCTCCTAGTTTCGGTAGTATCATTGTCTTTTCCATTTGATTAAATGCTTACAATTCTCCATTATATTAATTCATAAGCAACCAATGTTTAAATTTTTTTTTTAAAACTCACATTAAAGATGGTATTTTAAAAGTACTGTAAATAAATAAATAATTTAAGAAAGCAAAAACTTTTTGCTTAGCATTGAAAGACAGAACAGTGAAAAATAATGGAAACAATTTGAGAACCGAAAAAAATTAAATAAATAAATAAAATGAAACTAAATATCTTAATACGGTAAAACCAATTTCTAACCATTGGTGTCACTGCCATTTTTACTTCAGAGCATTTTTTTCCTTCTTGGTCAACTGCACTATCCTAAGCTCTTCACACTGTATCAAAGACCAGGATGTGAATGTCACACTCGAGTAGTGTTGAATAATATATGTTTTTACTTCAAAAATAGCATCGAACGTTAATAGCATTTTACTTTTAAATACCATATAACAGTAAACCATTAAATGCAACACGATGTTATGCAACACATTACATTAAATGCAGCAGTGATTTTTCACACATTCGTGACTTTAATAGTGTTGCTCACGAAATTGAAAAAATTAAGATACATATCTGTAATAAAACTGTCATAAGTTCTATTCTAGTGATTTTAAAGTTTTAAATCCTACTTATGTTCTAAAGTTTTTGTTGCGTGTGATACTTCTCGAAATATTGTTAATTTCAGTGATGTAATAGTAGTAGTTGTTAATTTACGTCGCACTAGAGCTGCACAATGGGCTATTGGCGATGGTCTAGGAAACATCCCTAAGGATGATCCGAAGACAAGCCATCACAATTTTGATCCTCTGCAGAGGGGATGGCACCCCCGTTTCGGTAGCCCAACGACCTGCACGCGAAGTCGAGCACTTTACGGTAGAACAGTTTAAAGAGGACCAATACCGCACATCCTCGGTCCTTACGCAGACTGATCCAAGTGGTCACCCACCCGCACACTGACCGCAGCCAGTGATGCTCGACTTCGGTGATCTGCTGGGAACCATGTCTTAACGATCAGTCCACTGCGGGGCAATTTCAGTGATACAAGAGATGTCTGGGCCTAGTCATTATGTGTAATCTTTAAACTTTGAAATATCTTAAAAAGAGTCTAAGTTATGGATTACTACTACCAGAAGGCTAAATGGGACAGTTTTGTGAGCTAATATTAACTACCGTCTTAATTTTTATGGTTTTAGTTTTAGGAAACTCAAAATTTTTAAAAACAGCTTACAAAACAAAAACGATTATTTTTATTATTATTGTTAAATTTATAATAATAGTATTATTAAAATGGAACAACAAATCAGCAAAAAATGATGAAATTCCACATTAGCAATTCAAAGTTCCAGAATTAAATGATTCAAAAACTCTATCGAGATGGAACTAAAAGCTTGTGATATCACATTGAAAAAAAAAGTATGGTCAAAACTATCAAAATAAGATAAATTCGCCTTGTTTCTGGCTTTATGGGAATACCAAACCAAAGTGCTTTGTCAATGAGTTTGGTAAAATTAAAAATAAAATATGATTTTATAATATGAGATAAAATTTATCATGATGGCATAAAAAATCATTTATTGAGTTAAATTTATGTTTTGTATTTTTTACTAAATATGTTCTAATAAGGTAATAAGAATTATAATATTGATAAGGTAATAAGAATCATACATATAATTTTTTGAAAACTAAAATTTTACCGTATGAACCAAATGAATGGTTTAAATACCGTATACTTTGGTTTAATAACCAGTATTATTCTTTCTGTTTTTACCAGAAATGTCATTACCATGCAGTACGGTAATTTTAACAGAATTATTTTCTCCGTGTACAGTATTGAAATTCTAAATTAAAGTAACCCTTTCCAAATATATTCTATTCCATTCTATTTTGTAATATAAATATTTAATTATAACAATAAAAAGGTATATGGACTCATTGAGATAGATGGATGATCAAGTACACTGTATAGGATGACTTTTCTTCGATTACTAGATTACATCCCGCTATTATTAATAAATTATGAGGGCAGTAAAAGTAAATTAGGCTCAATTTATAAAGTTACATTGAAATAAAAAAAAAGACAAATCAATGTGTATTTAAGGAGTTTAGCCGATTTATGCAGTTTCGCTTGCTCTTTAATGCAAGAACTAGTACTAACAACAACAGAAATCATCCAAACGGTTATGAAGCTTTGGAGCACTTATTACAAATAATAATAATAATAAACCAAATTTCATGCAATTGTAATTAGTTAACATTACATTTCTAGAAAACAGCTATAGGTAAGAAGAAAATATAGAGGCTTCAGAAGAATCATAATTTAATAACATTTTGATTGTTTAATTTCTTTATATTTTATAAAGCAGGAGTTAATAATTGAAGGAAATCGATGTTGCAAATGAAAGGAAAGGAAAAAAACCCAAATAGCGCACAAAAAGGAAAATTCTGTATAACTAAATTTAATTTTCGGGTCGTAACAATGATTTTTTTTTTGCTTTTGCATGCTAATTAACTAAATTGCTATCCAGGTAAAAATCTTTTGAAATTAGACAAAAGTGGGTCTAAAACTTTTATAATGAAGGATAGACGAAGATGAAATATAATAAAGATCAGGAAAGCATGTGATTCTTTTTGCAAATTAGTAGCTTCAAAATGAAGTACTTTTTAGTTAAGTGAGGAAATCGTTTTCTTTAATCACCAAGTATGAAGTAGTTGAGTTTTGAAGATTTTTTTGTTGTGGAGAATACAACTAATTGGGTTTGAATTTAATCTTTAGTTTTTTTTCATTATATTAAAACTTATTTATTTAGTGTTGCTTCTAAGTTACCCAACTTTCATTCGTATTTACTGAATCTTACAGGTTGTCCCGAAATTACTTGATAATATGAAGAATAAATTAAGGAAAAGAAAAAGAGAGAGAAATATACGGTAGCCTCGTTCGGCGTCGGAAACTAGCTGATTTATTATCAGTACTTTTCAAAACTGGTGATTAAGTTTGCTAGCAGTTTACAATGACGCTATCTGATCAAGACTATTATGCAATGATTTCAAAATAAACACCTTTTCCTGCACCAATGTAATGCTTTAAGAAGACAAAATTAAGAATTTCGCACAAATATTTCACTTGGAATGGTCTGAAATTCAGTAAAAAGTATTGTTTTAGAGTTTTTAGTCAGCAGTGCCATCTGTTGACAAACTTGGCAACTGATTTTGAACTCTGGTGAGAAAAAATAATCTAGTTTTCTAAACAGAACTCAACATACCGTATATTTTTTCGTCTTCTTTAATTTTTCTTTAATTAATTTTTCAAATTGTCAGTCAATTTTTTTTTTTTTTTTTTGTGAAGAGGTAGGATTTGTGGTGGATTACATGTCCATCCCAGCTCTCACACTAGATGGTGGTAGAAAAAACTGTTTTCAACTTTTTTACTCAATTTCATATATCTGGCAACAATATAGTCTTAAACATGAATTGTAATTATATTTAATCAACAATCGGTCCTCTTGTTGCAACGTTACTAGTAGCTGCTCCTCAATGTCTGTCCTCTAACTATTTATATTTTTATCTTCACTTTTTCTGTGTCTAATTCTTAATAAATATAAAGTAATTTTGTTAGCTCCCAATCTTTCATACGCTTAATTTTTCAACGCTCTATTAATTTAAATGAATCACTATAAATTGATAAGTTAATCACTATAGATTCTTCCAAATAATAATAACCATTGATATTAAATAATTATTTCAGAATGTATGATAACAAAATTTATCTTTTTTTTTCAGGATCCTGTAAAAGTCCATCTTAAGGGGTGTATCTATCACCAGTCACTATTATTCTCATTCATGTTTTAACTGTCTCTTAAATTTTTAATTCTATAACCTCCATAACATGCTCATTCTATTGTGCACTGTGTAAATAAATATGGCAAAGACAAATGTTTCATTTATTATTGTCTCTTTCAATATATTTATCTTTGATAAATAATTGTCTCAAAATTTCTAAACTGAGTACAAAAATGTTAGAACGGTTTAATATTGTTTTATGAATGTCTTATCTAATAAACAGCTTTGTTAATTGAAATTTCTTTGCAAGAATTCCTTTGATTGAATGCTATGGTTGTCAAAAAATAAGCTTTACATTAAATGTACTTAAAAAAATTGAATAATAAAACAAATCTTAACAGTTTTTTCTGCAGTTTAGTTGTATTCTTTCCTTGTATACATAAAATATTGAGCTGCATTCATTTCGTATTTCAGCAGCCTTATCTCTGTTAATGTGCAGCATTAAATTACTAATTAATAAAATTGCCGTTTGTTTTTTTTACTCAGTAGCAAACATAGTAAATTAAACATCAAATTGCATTTCGTAGCGTAGTTATTGTATTTCTATTTTATATATTTAATAATACTTTATGTTTTATTGTATTTTATTATATATTTTCATTTCACATTTCATTATGTTTTTATTTTATGTTCCATTATTTTTTTTTTTACATTTTATATTCCATTTTTATTTCATGGGTCCAATTATGGACACAATGCATATATATATATAATGCCATGCTGTAGCTTAATGCTTATCAACCATTGTTAACATTAAAAAATCTTAGGAACTAAGTTGGGGAAAATGGGGTAAGACCGGTCAGCTAAGATTTGAAAGCCTGTTAGAGCTAAATTGTTCAACAGAGAAACTGTCAGATATGGCGCATAATATCAGTCTTGAAAAAGCTACAGATGCACCACATTTTTATAATAGATTTTTTTTTCTAAAGAAAATTAAATCACCAGATTTTATCCCACAAACTCTTGGAAACTCTTTAAACTCTTTGGAAAGTTTAGAAGTACTAGAATTTCAGTAAAAAGTAGCAAACATTTTTATTTTTTAAGATAATTTAAGAATAGCATTTATGAAACTCTCATGTGAAATAACTATCTTCTTCCTCTGCTCCACTGCATCCTTCGTGTGCCTAGCAAAAATACTTTCCCTATTGGATCCATTTTTCTACTCTTTTTTTTAAAAGTTAATTAGAAAATACATCATTACTATGAGAACAATCAGAGAGAATGTGTTTTTATCGTCTTCATCTGAAGAAACATCAATTAAGGTTTCTTTGAGGAAACACTTTTGTTACATTGGTTACACATCGCTCATTGGTGATTATGTTTTGAGGTTTTCCTTTTATCTTTTTTTAGTCAGCTCAAAATTACTTTCTCTTCCTTGGTAGCTCATTTTTTAAATGTTCTTTTCTTTCTTTTCATTCTTTTGATTTTTCTACACCGCCTTTATATATTGAGGGCAGAACTCGCAGTCGTACCCTGAGAGCAAAGGTTATAAAAACAAAACAGAACCATGCTACCATTGGACTGAATCCTTATTATTGATTAGGATACAATTGTCAAGTAAACGTATAATGAGCTGGGCTGGAAAGATTTTTCGAAACTGTAATGACCTATGTTCAAGGATAGTTTAAAAATAAAAGAACATACGAGAGTTGAATAGTAAAGCAAACTTATTTGCATAGCCGCCACGAATTCGACAACAAAAAGCCAATATTGCAGCTCCGTCTTAGCTAGTAGAATGTAATTCATAATCAAAATGCGTAACTAATTTCGGCAGAATAGAGGTACCCGGTTCCACCCCACTATCCGGCCATACCTCACTCTCCCCTATTTAAATTTCTTGAAACAATTATTCTGATACATACTTTGTGTTTATAGAATGAAATTGTTTCGATAGCAGAATTGCTTTGTTTATTCTTTTAGAGATGGGATTAATTGCTTTTGTTTCGCATGATATCTCGTTAAACATTGATATTGGTTGTTCTTACGTTAGTCTTTAGATATATCTGTGGTTTTCAGAAGAAGAAAACACATGTCTTGATACATGATTTTCGAAAGTTATGCTCAAATGTAGTACTCTTAACATTCAATTTCTTCTTGAAAATCAACAAACATGGATATTGATTAGTTTAGAAGATGTGTAATATGTGAAAATAATAAATGATTCCTTTAGAAGTCACTCCATTCTACTTTTCTCTTAAACTTGAAACCTGGTACTAAACTTCAACCTTTTCTTAAAACCAGAGATGCAAAATTGTTGTCCCCATGAATTAAAAAATTGCTTAAATGTGTTTTTTCCACAGAATTCTTATAGTGAAAAAGAAAAGAACTCAAGTTTTCATGATTTCTCGCCCAGGAACAATGTTTTCATGGGGCACATTAGGACCCATAATCCTCATAGAACAATCCGGGACGTCTGTAAGCTACTTGAACATAGTTGCAGACCAGGTTCCCCCATTCATGGCAATGGTGTTTACCAACAGGATAATGCACCATGTCATAAGGGTCGAATCGTCATGGAGGGGTTCGAGGAACATTCCAGTGACTTTCAAGACATGTCTTGGCCCCAAATTCACCTGACCTTAATCCAATAGAGCATTTGTGGTCCTACTTGGAAAACTAAATTCGTGCAGCCACGCTACCCCCTGGCAATGAGAGGGAATTGCAGGACCAGTTGGTGAGCGCTTGGTACCAGATACCTCAAACTACATATCAGCACCTTGTGGAATCAATGACAAGGCGGGTGCTAGCAGTTTTGAGAATTAAAGGTGGTCCTACATGTTATTAGCAGGGAGGTCATAATGTAATGGCTCTTCGGTGTATATATACACAAATGTGTACATTTTTTACGTATGAAACCTCAAACTTAGTAGTCCCATTGACTTATCAAGCAATTTTTTTACTTTACCTTTAACCACAATATTTAAAATAGGCATTTTTGATCATAGATTTAATCTTTGTTTGTAAAACACTTCAAATGTGACTCGATACCATTTATGAAATCAGCTCACTAATGCAATCAATTTTTCAACTCAAAATTTCCAGATCCGTATTATCAATCCAGATAAAAACACCGGAGAATAAGTTTTTTGCTACTTTGATACAAATACTTGCTCTTGCCTAATTGGGAAACAGATATTTGAAATCTCAAATTTGTTTTGGTCCTTAAACTACAGAGTTTTTAAAAGACATTTTAAAACTACTTTTTATTGAAATGTACAAGTTTGAAAAAAATTATATATATCAGGGGGCCACGTAATTATTGTGACAAANTATATATATATATAGTACTATGAATGACCAAAATTGTTGATTGTTGACTTCCACCGGTGATTGTTGACAATCACATAGTCACCGTAGTAAATGCCCGAAGTATATGCTAGATCCACTTAAGTGCCACTGTTAAGTGCAGTGCATACATTCGCCCGGTATACCCTACACTGATGTTTTTCTCAAAGCTAAGTACCACTGTCCGGCCCGGTAAGCATCTAACCGGTACTCCGAATTCTGATGTTTCTCCTAATCTACCCTTAGCAGATATTAAAATATCGAATAAATGTAATAATATCAACGAATAAATTAATATCAAATCGGATATAACAATAACTTCGGACATTCACCAAAGCGACTATGTGATTGTTGACATTCACTGGTGAAAGTAGCTATTCTCTTGATTTCGGCACAAGGTGTCATAGGATTATTGGATCAAACTTTAACGAGAGGTAGGGTAATGCACTATCTACCAATAAGTATTTGGGCAACAGTATAAGTATTTGGGCAACAAAACAAACTTTATTCATAATCAATAGTTGGTAGAGCCTCCACGAGAGGCAATTACAACTTGAACCCTCCGGAGCATACTTTCCACAAGTCCTTGTGTGACGGCTTGTGGTATTTTCTTCCACTCGGCTAGGAGAAGACATGTAAGGTCCTTCGCCGATTTTGGACGGGTAGTACACCCCTTAATTCGGCGATCCAACTCGTCCCAGAGGTTCTCGATAGGGTTCTGGTCTGGGCTCTGGGCAGGCCAGTCCATTCGATTAACCCCATTGGCACCATACCAAGCCTTGGTGACCCTCGCAACATGACAGCTGGCATTGTCGTCCTGGAAATAACAGGAGTCCACCCCATAAAATTACCCCAACATAGTAAGCACATTGTCCTCCAAAATACTGCAGTAGGCATCGGCGTTGAGTTTGCCATCAATGGGGACCAAGGGTCTCAATCCATACTAGGAGAAACACCCCCAGACCATAATTCCACATCCGCCGAACTTGACTGTTGACCCAATGCATTCTGGCAGAAGATGTTCTCCAGGCATACGCCAGACCCAGACCCTGCCATTCGAACGGTAAAGGGTGAACCTTGATTCGTCGATCCAAAGAACCGCTTTCCACTGATCTACGGTCCAATTTCGATGTGCTTGGCACCACATTAACCGAGCAGTGCGGTTGGACTTTGTGATCGAAGGCTTATGGGCAGCAGCACGACTATGAAAACCAAGAAGATGTGCTTCCTTACGGATGGTATTAATTGAAACAGCACACCCGGATGCCTGTTGAAACTCCTGGAGTATGTGGGTCATCGGCTGGGTGCGGCTCTTCCGAATTTCTCTGGACAACACCCGTCGGTCTCTATCTCCCAGTTTCGTTGGTCTGCCGACTCGAGGCACATTCCGACACTCACCGCTCACCTTCCACTTCTTAATCACATAAGCCACTGTCGATTTCGGGTAATTCAGCTAGCTAGATATGTCCCTTAAGGATCGGCCATTTTTGTGATACCCGACAGTTATACCTTTTTCGAAAACAGAGAGCTCCGAACTGTATGGCATCTTGCATGGGACTAATGCCGATGTTGTTCCCTACACAATATATACCCGCGTAGGGCGTGACGTATCTCAGGACCGCAGATATAGTCATTTGCATAGGTGTCCAAATACTTATTGGTAGATAGTGTACTATAAGAGCTCCTCGATGTGGCACCATCTCTCGTTATTGCACACTCTATAATGAGTTAAATTCCCTGGACGTGGTTAATGTTTTCAAGTGTGCTTTTGATGTCTGTTGAAATGATTCTTTTAATGCCTGCATACATACATTTAGATGTGACAAACCTTAACTGACCTCGAGCTTTCGTCCCCTCTAGATTCAGAGCCTGCCTGTATTTTTCGTAATTTTCACCTTTCTCATTTTCTGAACCTCTTGATGCCGTTTATCACTCTAAATTTGTCGCCCAATTTTTGAAACGCACATATATAGAGATTTTGATCTACACATAGACAGAGCGGTAATTCCAAAGACTTTTTAAAATATGAATCTCGTAAGTTTAAAATTAACGTTGCTTTTTTCTTCTTAAGTTGCTGGAGAAAGTGTATTTTATAATGCTTATGCAAAAAAAATTTTTTTTAAAGAAAATTATTTTTTTGCACTTAGTGAAATAGTATGAAAATGGGCAATTAAATGTAATAATAGTTTTACTTTAAAGATTAAAATTTCAATTTTATTTTAATTATTTTTATAAGTATTTAATTAACAATGAAAATACTCTCAAATCGTGGAGCACAATCTAAATGATAAATTCAAATTTTCAAATGTCTTTTAATTAGTTTTTGCCCCTACAAATTAAAGCGTTAAAATGCGGGTTTTGGTGTAATTTTGTCTTTGCAAGGAAAATGGTATGTCTGTACTTTTGAAAAGAAATCTTACACTGAACCAGACTATTTTTTTTTAATTATACTAAACCGAGCCGAGATGGCTCAGGGGATAGAGCGTTCGTCTTCCAATGAGACGAACTGGGTTCGAATCCCAGTCGATACGAATTCCGCATCCGGCTTGCATCGACCACAGTGCTGACGTGAAGTATCCTCAGTGGTAGAAGGATCGTGGGTTAGAGTCCCCTTGCCGAAAGGCTAACCGTGGGAGGTTCTCGTGGTCTTCCTCTCCATGTAACGCAAATGCAGGTTAACTCCTTCAAAAAGTCCTCCACGAAGGCAAATTTCACGCAATACTCGATCCAGGAGTTCCCTTGTCTTCTGGATTGGGTTCAAAATTGCAAGTCTACGGAGTTGAACATTAGTAGTCGAAAACCCATTTTAATTGGGTCGGTTGTTCAACGACGGTTAAAATATAAAATAAAATTATACTAAACCAGAAAGAATATGCATAAATTTTCTTTGCAAAAACCAAATTTTTGAAATTGGTAAGTCACAGCTTTTTTAAATTAAAATTCTTTTTTTATCAATTGAAACCGAAGACGCTCCGAATGAATAACAGACTTTCTTCCCTTTTCACAACATAGCACTAAGTCTGAGCTAGAACTTTCATCAGCCCAGGGATGGATTAATGTGTTCCAGGCAATACAGTTTAAACTGCTTATTTTTAGCCTGTCTAGCTCCCTTTCGAATATTGCATCCCGGGCAGATTACTCCCTAGATTTTGCCCATCCTAACAAATTTATTCCGGGAACAATGCTTTCTTTGATGCAAAAATTGATTACTGTTATCATCAATACTTGATTTCTTTCAAAATATTAAATGCTATTTTTGCTTACCTCATTAAATTTAAACATTTGATATAGGTATACGACAGTTATGGTGAAATTATATCAGCTTTTTTTAACTTCCCCGGCATGTTATTGACGATTCAATAAAATTTATATTCATCCTGTAATATTGAAATATTTTATGGTTGTGTTGAAATCTTGCTTCTATTTATTTTTATTCTGTTTATGTTTATATTTAATACATGCTAAAGAGAAATATTTGATACAGGTTTGAGACTGTTTTATTCAAATAATATCAGTTTATTTTAAGCTTTCCCATCATATTATTGACGATTCAATACAGTTTATAATCACCCCATCCAAACAGATTCATCCCGCGCAAAATTTTCTTTGATGCGAAAATTGATTACTGTTATCCTCAATATGTGATTTCTTTCAAAATATTAAATGCTTTTTTTCGTTTACTTCGTTAAATTTTAACATTTGATATAGATATGCGACAGTTATGGTAAAATAATATCAATTTTTTTGAACTTCCCCGTCATATTATTGACAATTCGATAAAATTTATATTCACCCATGAAGATTAAAAGATTATATGGTTTTGTTAAATTTTGAAACTTTTCAGTCAACATTATTGATGATTCAATAAAATCTATATTATTCTGCTACTATCTCAAAAAATGGTTGATTTGAAATCTTGTTTCTATTTTATCACAATTGCTATGTTGTATTTAAACTTATATTGCTCTGCTATAATAAAATTTGTTATCCCTCATAAAAATTGCTTCTATATTATATTAATTAGCATTAAACAAATTGTGTTAGTTTGTATCTAAACTCTCAAAAAATTCTGTTCAACGTTTAATCATTATACCGGTATCTTAAACCATAATGTGGTTCAAATTTGCTGCCAACTTAATAAAGTGTTAAAGTGTAGTGTAAATTGAACCATGTTTTCGTTTACATGAACCACAGTATCACGTTGTCAATTTTAAAAAGCACGATACTTTGATTTAATTTGGCATCATATTGTGGTTGCAGTAGGTTTGTACTAAAACAATTTTAACATAATTGGAATTTAGCAAGTTTCAAAATTTCTAGCAGGGAATTTGACATTTAACCAACCATACTTATTTCTTTAAATAAAGAAATTATTAAGGAAAGTGAAGCATATATAATTCAATATTTACCTAAACCTTTTTATTTTCTTTAAGAAAGAGTAATTTTAATCAATATAATTTTTTTTTCTGAAGCATATACAATGCAGATATGATAAATAAATAACTTTAATTTACACCTAATACCACATTTTAATGATCGAATAACATACTGTTTAGGACTTTCTAATTTATGCAGTTTTTTTTTGCTTACAGTTGCAACAATATGCAATTTTACTAAAATATTTTGAACTAATTAATTATAATAATGCAAGAAATAACTTATATAAGTAAGCTGGAAATTAAGATACCAAACTGTTCTCAGTACTTAACATAGTGATTTCGATGTTTTTAATCCTGACTTCCTTAACAGTAATTCGTCAGGTTTTATAAAGTTTTCTATTTTTTTCGTTTAAATATAAGTTTCTAGTCCCTATTATGCACAATTTTTCGATTCCGTGCTTGAGAAAAGATTTTAAAAATAGTTATTAGGCTCGGCGATAACAGAATATTTTGATCGGTTTATGTCTCTAAGATTATTTATGATGTGTAGGAGTTTTTGTATCAAGGTTTTATGCTTTAAATTTTAGCAAATAGCGTAATAATAACATTAGGTGATAGTTTCTGAACTCTCATAAATAATGCTTTGATCACTTATCCCAAACAGAGAATAAAATTTTGCTTATTATTAATATAAGACAATCTTGTTGTGTAGGATTATTGCTTTAATTTCAAAAAATTACCAAAATTTTTTTTTAAATGTATTCAAGTGTTCTAAAGCGTAATTGAAAAAAAGCATTTTTTAAGTACACAAATTAAACTTATGAAAATTTAATAGAACTAAAAAATACGCCTATCTAAATCGAAATTATAAAGAATTCGTTTATTAACAAGATTAACAAGGATATACTGTCGAATAGCAGCTTTTAATATATAACTTTAAAATCATTATTAAAAATTAAATAAAAAAGTATGCACATTAGAATTCTCAAAGTAACATTTAAGCAAAGGAAAAAATATAACAATATCAAGATCTGATAAATCATTATTATAGTAGTCGGGATTAAAAATATCAAAAGCAGTTTGATTTCCTAAGAAAACTTGAGTGTGTTCTTTACATTCACCTTTCACTTCTACCTCGTTTTCTTGACCAATCAAAAAGTTTTTGTTGTTTTAATTTCCCATTCCTTTTTAATCATTCGTTCGTCAATTCCTTAAGTGTTAACTTGCGACCATTAATGTATGTTTTTTTACTTCCTTTTTTTGGCAAGGATTCTAAAGATATGTATAAAGTTTAGTGATTCATATAGTCCAATAAAAACAAAAAAGCAAAATAGAGGTGAGTTTGGCGGAGTTTGGAGCAAAGAAGTTTAATGTAAAAACAGCTGAAGATTTCCGAATTAAATGGTTATCTTAATAACTCTTAGTTCATGTATTTATTTATTTAATAACGTAAAGAATAATGGTGTGTTGCAATAGTCATAATTCTTTCATCCAAATGAAAAAGATAAATATGTTTCAAGTTCTGTATTGTGAATAAAACTATTGCATGTTGTTTGAGAGGAAATTTTTTATTTACTACAAAAAGTTCAAAGTTTATTGAGCTAAATTTTAGTACGCATACATACTCTCATGCTTATTATTTTTTTATCATTAAACTTTAACACGAGCACAATGCATATAATTAGTCCATATTAAAATTTCGCACGAACAGTGCCAGATTTTTCACCTGACACGAAATATAGATCTCAAAATTTTCTATAAATTTTATATTTAAACAATCAACAACATATTTTGTTCATTAAATTGCAACATATTGCACTAAACAGCTGCTCAAAATAGAGCAGGAGTGACGTGTTATTAAGTACATACAACGGCTGAACAATATCTACAACACTAAAGTTGATTTCTAACGTCGGAAATAGTGTTATTTCGTTTTAACGACGCTGATAGAGGTTGGTCTGAAAAATACCTATTGCACAAGGCTTGATGCAAAATATTTTGGATTTCATCCACTTCACTAGGGGAAAAATACAAGTGTCTTACTTCTCTATGTGAAAACACAAGCGAGTAAAAATCAAGTAAAATCATATATAAAAACATTTAAATGTGAAATCTAAATTCTTCTGATCTTCTTAGTGTGTCGCTGAGCAATTAAACAACACTTCAAGATTAAGAAATTCTTGACTGAGTTTGTAATTTTCGTCCAAATAAAGTTCACATGTAGTTGAATAAATAGTAAAACACTCTACTTTTTAAAATCTAAGAAGACAAAAAGAGACATTAAGCCTGAATGATACTGATAAAACTGAAGCTGTGAAACGGTTTAGCACATATTCTGTATTTCATAGGTAACATCTTCGATAGAATTAATTTGATATTCTCAAGAATGAGATAACAAGCAGAACTTCTTTTGGTAGATTTCTTTTCAGTTGCAATAGGAAGAACTTACCCCGTGGTATTTGCCTATTTGTTTTTCGGGGAAATCATGAAGGGAAATAAAGTTGAAGGCACCAACATTAAAAACTTCTTTTTTAAGTTCTCTTTAAATGTACATGTATAATATATTTATTTATATATCTTTATTCACATAAAAAGATCTTTAGACTTTTCTGTACAGGATTTCTAGGAAGAACTTCTAATGGCAGAAATGATGGCTTCTAAAAACCTTGAATATCTGATCGATGATTCATTAAGAAAGCTTTTTTTGTCACTGGTCAAGGAGCTAAGACGTGAACACCAAGAGTTGAGAGATGGTGACTGATATCTTCAAACAGAGCAGTTTCTTGACTCTGATTTTGAAGAAATTAAAGAGTGAGTTCTACACTTTCCGTTCATTTCATCTCACGAAAGCCTGAAAAAAAAATAAAAGGTGTAAAACAGAAAAAATAAATTAATTGAAAATGATGCAGGCAAACTCCATATTTATATATATATTTTTTAAGAAACATGTTAGGTAAGTAGATAGGTACTTTATTTACGTCACACTAGAGCTGCACAATGGATTATTGATGACGTCCTAGGAAACATCCCCGAGGATGATTCAAAGACATGCCATAAAACGTTTGATCCTCTGCAGAGGGGATCTCAATTGTGAGGCCATTTCCTCAATTCAGACATAAATCAATTTAGACATAAATGAAGGGGAAGGCAATTTTCTCAAGATCCCTGTACTCATAGTGCTGCTAAGCGATCGACCACATGCTTTTCGAAGCCACAGATTTTACGAGAACGTATATTGCATGCACTCGGTGGGTCTTAGTGGGGTCGAGGGTCGAACCCCTGTCACTCAGGACCGGAGTTAGATTCTCTTACCACTGGTCAACCACGACCTTAATATGTTAGGATTAACTTCCAAATTTACTTAAGTTATGGTCCCAAAGAAAATAAAAAATAGAAATTTTCAGAGAACGCTTCCGATATACCGTTATTTATAGACTGTCCTACTTTAATTTGTTTTTTCGAAAAAGTGAGGTGTACCGTTAAATTTTGTTGAGTGATAAACTAAGAGGTAAGATTTTAGAGATACATACTCTCAGAAATAAAACCTTCACTTTTGACGATTTATCAATCCTTGAGCTGTATTTCGTTAGTTTTGAGAATCATTTTGTTGCGAAATCACGTGATTTATGAAGAAACGTGAACTCCCAAATATATGATGAAAACGCTTCCTTAAATCGAAACCATATCGGAGTGTAATGAGAGAAACTGCTGACGAAACTAGAATGAAGACTAGAAGAGGGAAAATAAATTGATGAAATTAGTTGACCACGTACCAGGAAGACCCAGGTTCGAATCCCGCTACGGGCATAGGTGTAATTTAGCACTCTGCTTTATCTGTCATTCTTAAGTTGTTGGGGCAACATTGATCCATCTATAAGGTGCCCACGATAAAGGGATTGCTAGAAAAGTTAGATACATTAAGCGCTAAGAGTTTTTTTTTTTCCTTTGGATAAAATAGATTGATGGAATATTTTCTTAATTTTGACGAAATTCATTTTCTCAAAGAAGACACGATAGTTATTTCGTCACTTCGACGAAAAATTCGCTCGGAGTATACACCAGGAAACGGTTTCGTCAAAAGCGAAGAAAGTTTCATGAAATTTGAAATTTGAGCATCGATTTTCTACAGTGCCCTACTACTCATTGATTTTAATACTACCTTTGTTTTTGCAGTTTTTCCAAAAAATATATAAATTAATAACATGAATACATGAAATAATTTTGTGAATCTTATAAAAACCTTGATATAATCTTATATTCAAGCAAACATATTTTCATTGCATAATTTAGTATACACCACAGAGTTTTTCTTCCCTTAATCAAAATAGCTTTCATTGAAACGGTCACAGTCCCACACATTCGATCATTACATTGGTTAATTCATACAAACTTTTGAATCCATTGTAATAATTACATTGTATACCTTTTGACAGGTGATTTCGGCTAACAATGTTTTTATTTTTGATTCGATTGTCGAAAAGATTGCATCATAACTTTGCTCTAAATTTGATGTTTCAAACAATGTGCTAAAAAGATATTTCTTAACTTTTTTTTTAAATTCCATATTTTATTCAGTAATAGTTATGCACACATATTGCATTGAAATATAGTATTTTGCCTAATTTAGATAAAAATTAAAAAAAAACTTTGTTAGAAAAGTAATTTTAAATTAATGAGAGAATAGGAAAGCTTAGCTCTCTTTACCTTTTCTTGCAATGAAGTAATTGTAATTTTTTCAGTTTCAGGGTTTAAAATTCATAAAATAACAATCAAAATTAAAAAATACAAAAGCAAGTTAAAATAACTCATAGTAAAATACTACTCTATGCTTCTGTTTACAGAAAATTAAAAATGCACTGAAATGAAATTTAAACAAATATTTAAAGTAAAAATGGAGAAATATTTAAAACATTCAAGTTCTTTAGCAACATTAGAATTAACTGAAGCTTTATTTGTCTTATGTAAGAGAAAAGAGCACTCAGATAATTAAAAAAACTACAAGAAAACTCCAATTCTAAAGTAATTCATAGTCTTGTATTAGGGTGAATAATGTTGACAAGAAATTTTTTAAAGTTATTATATTATTCAAATAAATAAATAAATGAAATATTCAGAAATAAAATCGAAAGTTTTAACACAAATTTGAATTTTTGAAGCATTATTAGTAAGTGAATCCTTAATGAGCTACAGTTTTATTAACTTAAATGTAACATAAACTAAATCTTGGCTTTGGAGTGTTATTTTTTATTAAAAAAAAATTATTTCTAATTATGGCTTACACACATAGAAATTCAATTAAAGGCAATTTTGCTTAGACAAAAAATAATTTTATAAATGAGTGCTTCGTTGAAAAAATTCTAATTGCATTATAAATATGTAATGTTACAAGAATTTTATCGTAGCAGTTGGAATTAAGCGACCTGATTTAACAAATTTTCCTCATATACCAACTACATTGAAGTACAAATTTCGTAAATTTTATGCGAAATTACAAAATGTTTTCAATAGGTATGAAATCAGAACTTCAAGCTAGTTTTTCATCACTAAAATGTAATTAAACAAGGAAAACGAATTTGTAGATTGGAGCAGTTAACAATGACCTTATCTTTTTGAAAGATTTACTATTCTTCACTTAATACTTCAACACAATTCAAAATTTTATTTAAGAGTACGATAAATCGTCAGAAGCCATACAAACTAAAATCTAGCAAATTTGGCATGGTCAAATTTAAAAAAATCACCAACTTTTTGAAGTTGAAACTTTGTAAGAAAACCCCAGCTTTTCGTGACCTGAATTTCAAAACTGTAAAAGGGGTTTTCACCAGAGAAACATCTGGATAAATTAGATCTTAATTTCTATTAATTGTCATTCGATGTTTTTGTTCGATGTTCCCCTTATTTCAATATGACTTCATTGTTTTTTATATAAACTCATGGCGATACCCACAAACATTTTGAGCACTTACGTGAAAATTAATTGAGCAAAAATTGATTTCCTGAGTGATGTTATTAACTACTTCAACGCTTTTTTTTCTCGTCCAAACTTTTTGTAAAATTTCTAGTAAAAGCCTTGATTTAAATGCTTTTGGATACATTTAGGGACTATTAACTTTAAAACGTTTTATAGAAATTGCACTTTTCTCTGCTTGAAGACAAATTTTGTGAGGTATGGTCACATTTATCTGAAATATGACTTCAAAATATTTAGCATTCAAAATATTTAACATCATTTCCTCCTTAAATTAATTACAATTTAGCCATATTTCTGATTTAAAATATAAAAAACGTCATATATCACATAATTTGTGTTTGCTTAACATTAGAAAATGGAATTATTGTTCACTTATTTTCAAGAAATATCTTTAATTAGGAACATTAGTGTTTTTTCTCATTTGTAAGAAGTTTAGCTAACTCTACCGGTATTTTTAGGGCTGTATAAGACATTTTTTTTCCATCACCAACAAATAATTCATATTTTTAGAACAAAGTAACTCACCTGAGTATGCATCTGCAACATCTTATTTACCGAATGTTTGATATTATGTATTGCATCATAGAGCATCTTCAACATGATTTGGTTGTACTTGAACTTGATGTGGTCCACCAGGCATATTCCTTAAGCGACAATGGTGTCGATGATGAAACTCACCTATCAATAATTACAAAGAGAAATTTTGGTTTTAAATCGAATTACAAATAGACCAATGACTTCAGACCGAATTTTCCAAAAATCCAACTGATGATATTGTTTTTTGGTGAACTGGAGAATTTTTTAGTCCAGCATTTTAGCCAACGAAATCCTTCATTAATTTTAACTGTGCATTATTTTCAGTTTAATTTTTAAATAATTATATCGATAGCAATTTTCTGTTCCTTATCAATATTTATATTTTTAATTTTATTTTTTCAAAAATGCATAAGTAAATAAGAAGTTAAAATTTGCATTTTTTAATTAGAAACAAGTTTGTGTCAGCGGAGATCATCTTTCTTCTGCGTCTTCTAGTTTACTTAAAACAACCTGAAGTATGAGACTACTAAATAATTAACCAGATTCACCATCACTACACCTTTTCATTACTACTATTGGCTTAAAAAAGTTCTCTAAACTCTGAAAAACAGTTCTTCTGTTTGCACAGAAAAAAAAAGTTAAGAATTTGGATTTTTGTAAAAAAAAGTCAAAATCTTTGGAGTGAGTGTATATATATATATATATA